TTAACCTGTTTCTAAACACGTTTTTAACACCCACCCTTAAACGCTGTTATGGATCTAGAGGCGCTGACTATAATAAAAACCTTTACATCTAAAGAACCCCTGCCTGTAGCCTTCATGGCTGTTATAATATCCAGACACTGATATGTTCATAAAGACTGTCACCGAAACACAAACTTCATCTCTCTTACAAACATTGTACGCACAGCTCGCGCTGCCACTGAACGAAAACACGTTCGAAGGATTTGATTTTGGTTCAAAACTTATCATAGTCAGCTGTGGAGTGGACGATCACTGAACACATGTTCAAAACATCATTTCTGGAGCGTCAGGGTATCCATGAACAGCTGCTCCAGATGTTTCTGCTCCAGAAACTGAATGAAAATATTTTTAATGTTAATTTCATTTTTTACATGACATTTTGCATATTAATGATCATAAACTGACCTCGCAGCCCAAAGTTCGTCAACGGTTTCAGTCATTATGTCCTGTTTATAAGGTTGAAGCTTGCTGTCAGCTGAGGCTGAAGAAGTCACCTGATGATGATGAAACATTTCTCCCACTGAAAACGTCCAGATGAACAGAATTAACTTTTCTGGGCTTTAACTTTAATCTCGGTCAAACCGATTTACTCAGAAGCAAAAACAAAGAAGAAAACAAAAGACAACAAAAAAGCTGAAATAAACACAAAGACTTAGAATTCATCAAAATGAAAACAGTGTGCTGGGAGTCAGGCGTTCTCACTGGCTCTAGTGAGCCTCAGCCTCCGGTCACCTGACAGTTGGTGCTCCATCAAGCAAAAAGGTGATGTGTTGATAAATGCAGCATGTTTACAAATCGACTGTTTATTCTGTGTCACAGAAACAGTCATATTTCAAACGTTACTCGCTGCTCTTCTCCGATGCTGCCGCTAAGTTTTGGACAAAATGCATTCTGGGATATTTGGCTGAGCCAGGCCCACACAAGTCACAACGTTGCCTGCTCGAGGGAATGGGCGGAGCGGGAATACATCGAGGCGCTTTGAGCGTACTTGACTTTGATGTTTGAACTGGAACAGTACAGCCACTGATGAGGTTTCACAACTCCACGAGAACACATATTGTGAAAGGGCCCTAGCTTTGCATAAACACTGGAAATCAGCCAAGACTGACAACACCTAAACCTCCATGTTAGTTTAATATAAAGAGACAGCTCCATGTTAGACCTGTTACTGGACCACAGAGTGTGCAGGTTACCTGAGGTGTTTCTACAGGATCCAAACCTGCGATCACTCACTTACACGAAGACCCTGTTATAGCGCACGCTGCCAAACAAAACAAACAAGTTCAAAAGTGTTGCACGATTCCTTTCTGGACCATGTGTATGGATATCAGACCATCTTTTCAGTTTAGCAACCAAACACTTCAGGATATTTCTGTGACAACTATAACTTTTGAAACATAAACTGCATATAACGAATGAGACAAACTAGACTAGTTTGTGCATTTGTGGCTTCTCGGCTGAAAAGTTGATAAATGTTCAGACACTGTCAAAGAATTAGCTGCAATCAAATCTATTTCTGTTAAATATACTGTGACTCTGCAGGTGAACCATCCGCCTGATCCTTCCACTGACCTCCATCCAGAAGTGTACGGGGAGATGGGCTGGACCTTTCTTAAGTTCTCC